TTCTTTTGTCAGTTCTATTGTACTAGTAGTGTTCGTGGGCTGAACACAAACAAGTCAGGGAACTGATCCATTGAAAACTAACAAAACTTACTTTGAAATTGGTTCCCTGATTCCAGTCACAGGAAACAACAACAACAACAAAAATTAGGCAAAATTAGGTTATTCTGCCTTGGTATAGAACGTGAAAGAGGTTCCTGGGCACAATTTCAAAGTATTTTAAGTTGTCATAGGGATAAGCTGCTCAGAAAAAAACCTTTCATTTCAGTTGTGGCTGTGCACTGCCACAGTCTTCATCCTCTTGGCATGAACAGTGGAGATTGCAGTTGTGGAGCTCACTAATCTCACGGAAACCATCCCTGAAAGAAAAGTTGCTGTCTTAAGGAAATTAATAGAAATGCACTGCTGAGAGGACATGGGATCTCTCTTCTCAATGGTAGTTCAGTCTCAGATAGATTTTGATTGTGTAAGATCATATTCTGTGCCATGCTCTTTCCCCTTCACGCAGATAGCATTTATCTAGGGAAAAGACACTCCATTTTACGTTAACATAGAGAAAATTTTAGGAATTTTAGGGAGCGTATGAGCTAACTGCAGCGCTGATATAACCAGTAAAAATCTTTATTGTTAAGATAGTATAATGGTGTTTGTTATGCTCACCATTATTATAAATTTATGCTTTAAAAAAGATGTTCTTTTACGTTTAGGTCGATTTGTTATAAAGCTAGCATTGGATGACCTGACACACAACAGACTAATCCTTGCCTAATAATGTGGCAATTATTATACTTGAGTATGGGAACAGACTAGAAGGGGCATCAAATCCAAAAGCGTCCAAGGAATATATGTTACTGGAGATGCAGAACAGGGTAGTTCAAGAGTTGTATCACAGAGGTCAAGAGAAGAAACGTATTCTTTCAACTAGTTGTGGTTTGTAAATTTTCTGGTATGCAGCAGAATGGTGGGAACATGCCTGAAAATTCCAGGGTACTTTGCTGTGAGGCAGCTGAGCAGTTATTAGCAAGAGTAGAAGTATCATTCTGACTTTATTCTCTCTGTTTGTAGTTAACCTCCAGTAGTTCAGAGGAAGGTCCATTCTTTTTCTTTTCCCACTTCCTGAAGTCAAGATATGCATCAGTGTTGAAAAGGAAAATTCCTTTCTGAGTCTGCGTGCAAGTTGTTATTATCTAACTAATGCATGTGACATGGATAGTCTGTGTACATAGCACATGTTGAATGTCCCTCTTTTTCTTTTCAAACCCTAGACATAATTCTTCCAGAGCACTGACAGTGATAAACGTCTGAGCATTTTGTATTTTTGCAATCTGTGCCATTGAATGGGGTGCTTTGCCTGAGGAACCGAGTCCTCCAAGAATTGTAGCTGAAACTTCATACCTGTGTATCTGGCTGCTTTTCTGTCTATTGCCATTTCCATCTCTTTCTGTTGCAGCCTCCACAGTTTAAACTGGACCCACGACTAGCCCGTTTGCTGGGGATACACACACAGACCCGGTCAGCCATCATCCAGGCTCTCTGGCAGTACATCAAAACAAACAAGCTGCAAGACTCCCATGATAAAGAATACATTAACTGTGACAAATACTTCCAGCAGGTAACTTTCTTTTGGACACAGGAGCTCTTTAGAGGCAAACTGGAGTGGATCCCTTCCAAGAGGCTGTTTAGGTTTTGGTTGAAAATAAGTAAAACCATGTTGCCTTCCCCCCCCCCCTTTATCTTAGAGAAAAAACCCCAAACACCAAACGTTTTTAAAATTCAAAAGTCTTTTCTTGTATTTTTCTTTAGCATAAAATATTGCAGGAAACAGACCTTGGGAAAAATAAAGCAAACTGCTTTTATATTTCCTTTGGTTAAAAAAAATATTTTTTCTTAGTGATATGCTGTTTCAAACCCTTAGTGAGAGAGGAAGTGTTCAGTTCTCTCCAATTATTGACACACTTGATACTGATGTCCTATTAAATTGGCCTGTGCCCTTTGGCAACTAAACCAAAAGTGGGATACCTAAAATTGTTGTAATCTGATGCATCTGTCAGCTAGCCCAGATTGTAAATACAGAAGAATAAAAGCCAGAATTATAGCTTTCAAAATCACCTTACTTTTGAACTGTTGATTTCTTACTTTCTCATTTAGTTGCAGTTTAGGTTTTGGACAAAGATAACGTGCTTTATTGTATTCCAGATTTTTGACTGTCCACGGCTAAAGTTTTCTGAAATTCCTCAGAGACTCACTAACCTGCTGCTGCCACCAGACCCTATAGTGATAAATCACATAATCAGGTAAGCTGGTGAATCAGCTCAGCATTGTCACATGCAGAACACTCACTATATAAAATACAGAAACAGCTATAGTAACAGGGACCAGAATCTAATTTTTATAACTTCCAGGTGAGTACCTTGGACTTTCATGTGTGTTTATTCTCTGTATCAGTCTGGTCTATATAATTCTGAATGATTTTCAATAGAATGGCACTGATTCTCTAGGAGTATACAAAACAACTTCTTATTTTTATCCCTACTAGAATATCATTGAGAGAGTTGGTCAGGTTTCTTTCCTAAGGGGAGAGGAATGAGAGTTTGAATCCACTTAGAGGGGAAAAGAAGGAAATTAAGTAAGATACTGTACATCATGGGCAATCATTCCAATCACTGAGTTATTATGTAAAATGTACAACAGTATTACAGTTTCCAATGCAGTGGCCAGTCCATGCATGCTCTGTTGGGATTAGGTCAGCTGTTGTTTGGGTGTTGATCTTATTCTAAGAACACCAACAAGTCAGAGATCTCGAGAGATTTGCAATAAAGAATGCCTAGATTCAGAGAAGGTCATTGTGACCAAGATATTAAGCTTCTGGCATCCTTGTCAAAACAGATATATTTCTGGCATAGTAGATGAAATACAACTCTCAACTATCTAGGGCACTTCCAGCACATTCCATATATAAGTGACAACTCTGGAGGGGAGAGGGGCACGGACAGATAAAGAGGTTCTTGGGGATTGCAATCTTGCTGTTAAGATACTTCAGTCTTTCCCACGTTCCTTTGTGGTCTTGGTCAAAACTCTGACTCTGGGTGTTTAAATATTATTGTTAATTGAGTATAATGACTTCATTTCCTACAGTATATTGACAACAAACATTTCTGAATATACTTAAAATCAGGATTTTTATTTTAAATTTATAATATACATGATAAGTTTAAATGTTACATAGGCTATCAAAATAAATTCGCTTCTTGATTCCTTTGAGTGTATAAAAGAGAATAATCAAAAAGCAGCTTGACTACCATGTAGATTGATAGCTATGTATATACTGTAATTGAAGACAACTCAGTGACCTATTTGGTGGACCAAAAAAAGCTGACGTCCTCAGAGATAGTCATTGTCTTGAAGAAAAATGACAAGGAACTGATGGTTGTGTTTCCAGAGGCAGAGAGATGGCAAAGAACCTCTGAATTCTGATTGATGAAAGATGAGACAATATACTTGGATATACAAATACATAAAGATACTCCATTCTTAAACTCTTCCACAGCATCTGCAACAGGCTTTATTAAAGAGTCTATTCTTGGCTGGATGGATATTGATTCTGATTCATTATGGCAGTTCTCATGGTCTTCTCTTATACTCTCTGTAGTGTTGACCCAAATGATCAGAAGAAGACAGCTTGTTATGACATAGATGTAGAAGTTGAAGACCCATTAAAGGGACAGATGAGTAGTTTTCTTCTCTCAACAGCTAACCAACAGGAGATCACAGCATTGGACAACAAGGTACTATCCGAGGAGTAAAGTATCACATGGCATATATTGTGTATCACATGGCATTGTGTACCGTCGTGCGGGTTTGGTGTCACGTGTCAAAGACAGTACTGTTGTAAGACAGGGCTTCTCAATTGGATGTGCTTTCAAGGGATGAGTCAGCCATATGCAATGGGAATACAGAGGAGTGAGTGGCATTCCTGTTTAAGATTTAATCCAGGGCTGGACACAGCTGTTGAGGTGATAGAAACAGTTTCACAGTTAGTATAATGAGTCGCTTGGCATTCAATAATTATCTGAACTGTTTGACTTTAACTTTGTATTGGGAGGTCATGGTATCTTGCTAAACTGCTATAAGGCAAAGCTAAGAGAATGTCATACTCCAGATGTCTTGTGCATGCTCGATTGCAAAACAGCTCTCTGCTGTAGGTGCAAATATGGAAAATGCATAGCAGAAAAATCAGTTGGAGCAGTTGGCAGAATTGTTTCAGGGTTATTGAAAAGGATCATGTGCACTTCAAATAATAGTATCTGTCTTACAGCAGTGGTGAGCTCTGCACTCTTGTATTAGGGGTTCACGTAGTGGGAACTGTTAGCCAGCTTTTGGCACATGTGTGAATGGCTGATTTAGGTTGGTAAGGGATGAACAAAAGTGGCTTCTCAGAGCAAGGAAAGAAGAGGTGTGACTTTGTGGACCAGAAATGACTTATGTGACATACAGATAGGCCCAGTTTCTGTTTGTTTACCTCTAATACAAACAAATATATTAAACTGTGGTCTTCATATTATTTTAAAGGGGGTGTTGGACACTAGCAATCCTATGGATACTGGTAACTATTGCAGCATCTTTTGTTTTATGGCTCTTGAGAAAGGTCCTTTGCAGCAGGGCAGCTGCTCAGCCAGTTGGTTCCCAGCCTGTATGGACTTCCATGTAGCATGCATAACGTTATTCCATTTCCAGGTCAGCTCACCATTTCCCATGTCTGCATCACTCCTTCTTTTGAGCACCTCCTACAGCAGAGGGCAAGCTATGATTAGTGAAGTTTTTGGAGTAACTTCTAGGTAAACTGGTGTAGGCTGCTGCATTGTTAGCGTCTGTACCACTTATTGCTGTGCTGCCACAGAGTCCTCTAGTGGAAACTCGGTGCATGCCAACAGATTTCTCTCCAGCATGGCTACATCATTTTCCCAAATAAGGAATGATTTTGACAGCAGCTCTCTTCTGTTAACATACCATTTAGTTGTGCATACATGAGTGGCCTTGATGGCATAGTGAGATCAGGGAAGGGTTATTTTCGCCCATATGCCTGGCCACATTAGGTGTTACGGCAAAATAGATGTGTACGTGAAACTAAACAAGGTAGATATAAAATGTCAAACTGGAATTTGAGAGGAACAGAATAGCAGAAGTTTGCTTTTCTGTGTGTGTGTGTATGTGCAAATGATTCATTAGCTGTCCTGCCATTGATCATATTTGATTTTGTCATCCAGGATGATTATAGAACCTTGACTTCTGTTTGGAGTCTTCATTCTTTCTTGCTGGTTAATGCTCAATTTTTTTCATAATATTTCTGAAGATATGACTTATTTTCTATAAACCTTCCATACTCCTGGTTTTTCATTGTTCACACTGCTTTTGGTAGCCATTGTGACTTTAATGGGCTTTCTCTTAAGAAAAAAATCTAGAAGTCATGGCTGTTGCATGAGTTCATTTAACATGGATTTGATCAGGCCATCACTAGAAATTTTAAGGATCACAGCAGAGTATTGAAAATATGATGATGATTAACCTGCTTTCTTGCATTGAGCACTGTTTAAAGACATATAGCATCTTTCCTGAAAAATCTCAGAGTTGTCAGAAAGACTAATTATACACAGGAAATTATTACATTGTACAGTGACACAACTTAGCTCTTCAGTATTGTATATAGCATGCCAGCAAGCGCTGGATGTGAAGAAGAATCCTGTACATACTTGTATAGCAAAAGTACAGGTGAAACCAAAATGTAATTGCAGGATTGCAGTTAACTCTCTCTTTGAAGGGAAAAATCCTTGGGCACCTGCACAAGTCTGTGGTGTAGAACTGTCACCTTTGTACTTCACAAGAGATGCTAATAAGGCCCATCTCAAGGTTACTGGAGCATGGGAAGAATTAAGTACATGTGCTTTGTTTTTTTGTCAGATTCATGAGACAATTGAATCCATAAATCAGCTAAAAATACAACGTGATTTCATGCTGAGTTTCTCCAAAGATCCCAAAGGGTACATCCAAGACCTTCTCCGGTCCCAAAGTAGGGATCTTAAGGTAAGCTAAGATTTGAAGAAGAATGAATAGTGGAACCAGAATGTAAGAATTTTATCTTAGTGCATATACAGTGTATAGCTAAAACTTCCAGGATGGCAAATCGGTGGAAGACAGACAGTGAGTGGAATACTGCAATCCCAGAGCAGACAGTATGCAGGAAAGACAGTTTAGGCTGTATTCCACTTCCAGCAGAACATCTTTGCTTAATGGTAGGTGAATTTGTGGTCAGACAGCAAGAGTGAAGTGCAGGGCTGTGCTGGTGTATTCTGTAAAATCAAAGCTATATTGTGTATGATAACACAATTTGAGTATTTTGTTAGTTCATAATTTAATCTTATTTAGTAAATAGGCACATTAAATATGAGCTGCCTTTGAGCTTAGCTTTGAGGTACTCGAGAAATGGAATGTAAAGAAGTTCAGTTGCTTGCCAACAAAAATTAACAATTTGTTCCACATGAAGTTCCTCACAGAGACATCTCAAAATCAGATGTACTGATGAATCCATGAAATTATTTTAATAAAATCATGTCTTTCAAATAGAAATGTCAGTTTGTTAGTCGATAGTCTTCCAAAAAATCTGTTATTAAGATTATGATTATTATTACTTATACTGTATTCAAAAGGGGACAAACATCCAAAAGAATGTTTAAATAAAGCACCCTTTAAGCTTGAAGAGCTTAAAAACTAGGTTGCTTAGAGCTTCTCTGATTGCATGCATAGAACAGTTGTTCAGTGCTCTCCCTGACAACCAGTCCCATAAGGGCCTTCTCTATAATGTTCTGTCCTGCTCGCATCAGAATTATAATTGCACAATACTACTCTGCAAAACATGAATATTTTTATACTTACCCTTAATTCTGTGGTGCTGGAAGACTTAGTCATCCGAATGTTATTTTGGGTTGGAAGGGACATTAAAGCTTACTGAGTTCCAACCCCCTGCTATGGGCGAGGACACCTTCCACTAGAGCAGTTTGCTCCAAGCCCTGTCCAGTCTGGCCTTGAACACTGCCAGGGATGGGGCAGCCACAGTTTCTCTGGGCAACCTGTGCCAGGGCCTCATCAACCACATCATAAAAAGGTCTTTCTTATATCTGATTTAAACCTACCCTCTTTCAATTTAAAACTGGTGCTCCTTGTCCTGTCACTACAGGCCTTGTTAAAAAGTCTGTCCCTACCATTCTTAAAAGCCTCCTTTAAGTATTGAAAGGCACAGTGAGGTCTCTCCAGAGCCTTCTGTTCTCCAGGGTGAACTCCAGCTCTCTCATCTTTTCTTCATAGGAGAGGGGTTTCATCCCTGTCACTATTTTTGTGGCCTCCTCTGGACCCACTCCAACACGTCCATGTCTGTCTTGTACTGTGGATCCCAGAGCTGGACACAGTACTGCAGGTGGGGTCTCACAAGAACAGAGTAGAGGGACAAATCCAGCTCCAGCTGGCCTTAGCTTTCCTGAACCCATCCCTACACATCTGGGCAGCATCCCTATATTCTTCCCAATATACAAGTCCCTGGTTCCACTGTCTGTTAATTTCCTTCTTATACTTTGATTTGACCAGGAGGTCAAATCTTACTGTGTCATGCTTATTTCTGCCTTAACTTGCCCTGTTTCTTACACACGGGAATTTAGAGCTTTTTCACTTTAAGAAAAATGTCCTTAAAGAGCTCACAGCTCTTTTCAGCTACTTTGTCCTTAAGGGCAGTTTTCCAGGTGGTCCTATCCACTAATTCCTTAAACATCTTACTGTTTGTTCAAATCTTGCTTTCTTGGTAGTTGTATAGAGACTGGAAAATCACCTCAAGACTTTGGCCATTTTGGAATGACTAGGGTTTTCTGTTCCTTGCACTTAAGTAGAATTATTTTTCCTTAATGCTTTCCACATCAGAACTTCCCTTGAAATCAAGGTAAAATATGCTTTGAGATAAGGGCAACACTAGTATAGAGTTCTGTTTCAATCTGATGTGAATACCTTAATAATTTCAAACTGTTACCCCATGTACGGGTAACTAGTGAGGTTCTTTGGATACAGAGGCTGTATCCATGGTGATGGGGAACTTTTCCTGGGTGCTGGAACTAAGCTATCCATGCTGTTAAACTGTTAGAGATTGTGGCATTTGGCCAGGGCAACTACTAGTGTTTAGAATTATTCCTTGGCACAGAGGAAGCAGAGGTTAGCAGCTGTTTACAGCTGACAGTTTGTATGTGACCATATTATTTTGGTAGTTAAGCACACATGCCGTTCATTGTTCATCTGCCTTGGGCTTAAAGAATCGTCCTGAACATTTTTAATGAAGTAATACAGATAAAATTTGACTTTAGGTAAATCTGAATGTTTCTTTATGTGGTAGAAAAGCTATAGCGAAAAACATTTTTATTTTTGTGACAGGTGATGACTGATGTAGTTGGAAACCCAGAGGAAGAACGCAGAGCTGAATTTTATCATGAACCATGGTCTCAAGAGGCTGTGAGCAGATATTTCTACTGCAAGGTATGGAGGAATTATCCACACTGCTGGCTTATAAATGAATCTTCCTGCCACTGAACAACTGAATCTGCTAAACTGTACAGTTTCTCTTTTTCTTTCAGATCCAGCAGCGCCGGCAGGAACTGGAACAGTCTCTAGGAGTGCGCAACACATAAGTACTGTTCACAAGATCCCATTGGCATCATGACCACCAAACCAGTGGACTTCCCAGTGTTACTTAGCTCACTGTTACACATGGACCTGCTTCCTGACTGGATGAGAATGTACCATCAACCCACCAGTCAGAACACCAGCTTTAGAGTGACCCTTGAAAATCTTGCCCATGGGGGGTGTCTCAAACAATTCCAGGCCAGAGACAGCACCATACAAGTGTCAGTGTTAAAGAAGATTAAAGGTTCATTCATCAACGCACATCATTAAGTTTTAGTGGAAAGTTCAGACACTACACAGCAAATCCTAATGGGCTATGCATAGTATCGTGGGTGGCACTGAAGGGGGAGGTTGAGATAGGTGTTATAGGAGGCTACAGATTTAGGGTAATAAATGCAGTTCTCATCCTATGTTACCTAAGAGTCTCAAATAGTAACTTCTCTGGAATTAAACAAGATAGTCTTTGTCATAGCTGTGGAATGCTTTACATTCCTGAATAGATTTTTCACTCCAGGTGGAACAGTACAAGAAGCCATCTCACCATGGGAAAGAACAAACTAGGAGGATTTTCATTCCCAAAATGAAGAGCCACTCTGGAAGAAAGAAGACATCTCTTCTGCAAATTGTAATACTTCTTTTTTCCCTTGCCCCTGCAGTGAAAGGTAGACTGATTTACATTTTCTGTAGATGAGTATGATCAATGTGCTGTACTAAGAGAAAGAGAATTATCCCCGGGATAAGAGCTTCTCAGGCATCCTTAATGTCAGTGGTATTAGCAAAGTTGAGGTTGAAGCAAGAAATGAGTCATTCTGAGGAAATGAAAATAACTTAATGGTGCTTTGCTGATACCTGCCTTGAACACAGCAGATACTAACAATAAGCATATATGTAAAATACAAGACTTCTTAAATGTTTCTGTGTGTGCCAGTAGGGATCTGCACTGAAAAGAAGTTCCCTAATTGTTAAGTTGGTGCAGAACCCAAGAAGCTTAACTTCCTATAACGTGACAGTTTTCTGTTTACTTCAGGATGTTAACAGGTCTCACATTTTGATCATAGGTGAACTGCCTCTTACTATGAATGATTTAGATCCCCCATACATGATACATACTGGTTATATAGGATGCTGTTGAGTTATAAAGCACTATCAGCCTTAAATAGCACAGAGAACGTATCGCTTTGAAACCATCTTCTTTGTAAATATACAACAAATTCAGACTATGCGAATTTAAACCATATATAATTGGAAGCAGGGACATCTTTAAATTCTCTACTCACCCCTCATTTTTGTAGTGCACAGATTAGTCTGTAATTAATGGCTCAACATGATTTCTAGTGGAAAAAGCAGCTGCCATATTGTAACTGTCCAGATGATGTGGCACTCAAAATCCTCTTAGGCTACTCCTTTGCATCTCCTTTCTTTCACTTTCTAGGAAAGATAATCAAATTCACATGTGGTACAGGAGACAGCTCTTCTGAATAATGCACTTTGCTATAATATTGTCCTTTTCTCTTTTGCTATCTTTGCCAATTTCTTTCCGTGTCAAGCTTAAAAGTTTCTTCTGTCCAGTCACAGGATAGTCTTCTTTTCCACCCCTTCATTTAATACCTGTGCTTTCACATTAATAGTGCCATTAATAGCCTTTATTCTGTGCATTGTGTTCAGAGGTATCGTGGAAAATTTACATTTGATTGCAGTCATATGATGGTAGTACCATCATGCAAAACCATTGGTGTGAGAAAAAGCATAGCTGTACCTCTTTGCCCGAGGCCTTTTACCAGGAATGGCTTTGTTTGGAACTTTTTTTTGTGTTAAAACCTCTTTTTGCAGTAAAACGTGAAATCTTGCAGTCTTAAACGGGGTATGGTAAGGGGCTGTGAGGCTGCTAGACAGTGAATGACTTGAAATCTTACTTTCGTTAGGACTCCACTAATTGGAATACAAGCAAGCATTATGAGGGAAAACAGTGGGGATCGTTTGCTACTGTGCTTCCATATTTATGCTGCTGTGTCAGTTGTGTGCATGCTGTCCAGTGTATAAAACTCTTTTCTGTATGTGGTAAACAGAGCAGCTACATTCAGGGGATGCATTCAGTCTCCAGGAATAAGAAATGCGGAGAATATTATGCAAGGATGTGAGAAGGGCGTGGGACTGGGATAGATGCCTGCTGGATGTCTGCCAAGGAAATTTGTGTTTAGAGAACTTTCCCATTGAAGTGGCAAATATTTGTACAGAGAAATTTCAGTCATGTGCCACAGCCAGCAACATAATGTAGTCCAGCCTGCTTTTAGAATCTCTCTGTAGAATTAATTGGTTGGATCTGTTTCCAAGTCTATTGGAAATCAGAGCAAATTAATGAAACTAATGTGGTATTGCTGCCCAGTGTTCACAACAGCATCGCTGGAAGGTGGATCTATGTAAAGCACCAATGCTGTACTGAAGTGCGTATATATGTGTGTGTCCCTGCATGCACATGCAGGAGTCAGCCAGCGTAGATGACACTGAGGATGGCAATCCAAAATCTAAATTCTTATATCCCACTGTCTGTATTCCTACTGTACCTGAAAAGACTGGTCACCAACAGTGAGTCTTAGGAATAGCTGTCAGGTGTGTTTCCTTTGGTTAAACTGGGATTTGAGATCTTGATGCTTTTTTCCTGTGTTCAGGTCTTTTACTGAAGAGACACAGAGAAATTCTGTCCTCTGTTCCAGGAGTGCAGCTGGGAGCTTGCTTGTTTGCAAAAAGAGAAATTATATTTGAAGAGAGATAATGGAGGAATACTGGACATGTGCTTGGGCATACGAAAATGAAAATGAAAGGCAGTGGTACTGAACAGGCATGTAATTATGGCAGATTGTGAATGATAAATTCATTTTAAGTTCAGAATGGTTGTTCTTTTGTGTGTCTGAAAAATTAGAAGATGTTTGGCTTGTTCAGCGTGGAGAAGAGAAGGCTCCAGGGAGATCTTAGAGCAACCTTCTAATACCTATAGAGGGCCTGCAAGAAATCTGGAGAGGGACTTTTTACAAGGGCATGTAGTGACAGGTCAAGGGGGAATGGCTTTAAACTGACAGAGGGGAGATTTACATTAGATATTAGGAAGAAGTTCTTCCCTGTGAGGGTGGTGAGGCCCTGGCACAGGTAGCCCTGAGAAGCTGTGGCTGCTCTATCCCTGGAAGTGTTCAAGGCCAGGTTGGATGGGGCTTGGAGCAACATGGTCTAGTGGAAGGTGTGCTCATGGCAGGGGGATTGGAACTAGATGATCTTTAACATCACTTCAACCCAAACCACTCTTTGAGTTTATGTTTTGGAGTCTTCAGTTTTTGCCACAGTACAATACAAATCTGTGCATATTGCAAGAAAACATTCTGTGCATAGATGTATTTTCAATGCATAGATGATAATACAGACTGCTAGGAAATACAGCATCAAACTACGAGAGGGTTAAAACAGAATTTTGGAGTACCAGTACAAAGCTATCTGGGAGGTGAAGTGTTGAGATGGCAGGTTTGAAACACTTTTTTTAGTCCTTTGTGCTGTTGGCCATGAGTCAGGATTCAGACCAAGCGTTTCTTAGAAAGCAAAGGGAAAACAAATGTTTGCAGAGAAGAATACAGCAGTTAAAATAAAAAGATGGAGCAGAGCACCACTGAAGTGTCAGTAAGACTTAGCACAGGATAATGCGCAAAGTACTTTGGAAATAGCACAGTCCATGTGAGTCTGTATATGTTGTGTGCATGTGTGTATGTTTACCTGTAGAGAGCATGTGGGAGAGAGCCAGTCTCAACTTGTATGTAGCCTGGGAAATGTGCAGGCAGGACAAATCCAAATGTTCTGCAAGTAACTTTGAGACATATTGTCAAAACATTTTCCACTGTTATTAACAGGGATTCAGTTGTTCAACTTAGCAGGGTTAGTAGTTGTAGTGCAGACATTGTTTCAACTGGCAAGTTTTTTAAACCACATTGTTTAGAATTTATTTTGTGGAAGCCAAGTGAAAAAATTAGTGCATATGTCAATATTGGGGCATATCCTTGGGTTCCTAGTTTTGCCAAAACACTGATTTGGTACTGGCTTTTTTTTAGCGTGTTTTGGTTTTGGTGTCTTGAGAATCCTTTTATGGCAAAGAGATGAGGGGAAAAAGAAAGCTCTTTTTTTCCTGAAGAAAAAGGTCTCCTTTCTGTAACTGCTCTGTTGTTTAATAGGATGTATCTGTTCTGCCAGATCCTGTATGATAAACACCTTTTCCAATCTCATTGAAGAAAGGAACTCCATTAAAAAAAAAAAAAATACAACTGTGGGTTTGTGAGAGTGAGCAAATATGTGTAAAAAAGAGGGGGGGAGGAAGAAAAGAGAGACTCCCTCTACTCTGTAGCCACCATATCCTCATTGTATGATGCTGAGTGATTCGTAGAAAAGCTTTTAACAATAAATACTTTGTTTCTTTGTATCTCTTGCACTAACCTTACGTGTCTTAACAAAGACAGGTATAGTTGGTTTCTTTCTGCTCCCAGTATTCTCAAGTTTTTGGATTTCTGTTCAGCTTTGCATGCACCTGCACACACCCATACACAGACTTAAACACATACAGATTTTCATAGGACTTTACAAAGGTGAGAACTGTTGCTCTTTGGATCTTTCTAACGTGAATTAGCTTCTTCGCTGGATTCCATCTTCAACCATTTCCATACTCAATCAGTGAGAAATCCCTACCATTGGGGAAGTCTAGCTCTCCTCCAGGTCACTTGCTTGGTCATTTGGAGTACGTTTATCATTATCACTGTTACTGTCAACAAACAAGTTGCAGCTGGGGCTACAGCTTGAATGCTCAGTGGTGGTGTAGAAAGTAAGGGAGGCACCACATAGACTGTGGTAGGAATTACGCAGATGTCACCACAAGAGCGCTCGTCCCTGGATTCTGCTTTAATAAAAGAATCAAGAGTTCCTTCTTCCACTGTGTTTAATACAGTAGTTACAACTCGAGCTGGGTGCCTCTCAAGAGGGACCTGCCTGTTGATTGTTACTGGATTTCATAATCTCTGCAGGTTGCTTGATGTCCTGATGGCACTTAAGGCTCATCCAAACTTGTTTGCACAGTCTGGGTTTTTCTTCTCTTCTGATTTGCTCCCAGAGCCTCCAAGCATGCTTTTTGTTGTGTCTTGAGACATTTCCTTATCTTCTGTTACATAGTTGAAAGTTTACATAGTTAAAAGTTTGCATAGTTTAAAGTTTTATTTATACTTACCTACCAGTTACATTTCCATAGATAAAAACAAAGGTTAAAGTACAATTCAAGTGGCCTAAGGTTTCATTTACTTTAGTCACTAGTGCTAAGCTCTGGCACAAATTAATTTCTCACTACAGAGGAGCCTGCAGTAAGCTGTGTGAACAGTGAGCAGCCTCCCAGCAGAGGTACTACAGAGCCAGTAACATCAAAAACCGTTGTCAG